AAATATCCAGATTTTTTTTACATAGGAGTCTAATGGGAGCTGGGTTGACTTTTTGACAAATGTTTGTCTCTTCATGCCCTCAAGAGGCATTTTGTTTAATAACTATTGTTAGATTAGTTGTGTTTCTAATGAACAAAAAAAAGAAGGTGGCCTAACGGTGGCTGTTTAACACAGGAATACAATGACATTTAATTTAATTTAAATTGATTTATTTAAAACAAGGGACAGTGTACATTAATCAACATTAATCAACACATTAATGAACCCTCCTGTTGTCTTCGGGTCAAATCTGACCGATTTACTACTTTCATCAATCATAACTTTGTAGTTTTACATTGATTGCATTAAGGCTTTATGATATCCTTCACAGTAGACATTTGAACATATTGCTGATCACCACTTTCATTGAATTTTGGATGATTTAGTCAACTTTGTAACACCCATGGTGTTCCCGGTCAAAAATGACCGCCATAAAGAAAAGGAAATAGTAACCATAGTAAGTCTAGATGTATGTATGTATATATACAGTGTATGGTCAGCACTGATGTGTGGGTGTAGGTGTGTGTGTGAGTGCGTATTGTGAATGACTTGCTCCTTACCTGTATTCAGTGATGTTGTCTATTTCTGACACTGTTGGTTATCAATGAGCCACTTTTTAACACTGTGCTTGAATGAGTAGTAGGATGAGGACTCTCTTATAGATTGTGGTATTGAATTCCATTGATGGGATGTGTTGAATGAAAAGACAGCCTGGCTAAATGCACTTTTCCTCAATGGGATCATGCAGTCTCCCCTAGCCGCACTTCTAGTAGCCCTGGTTGAGGTGGGCTTTTAAGAGGACTTTTAAACTCAGAGTTATGTTCAACAACCTCACTTCTCTAGTAGGTTTAGCTAAATAACAACAAGCAGCTCCCCTGTGCCCTCTGAGTATTCTCCTGAAAGTAATCTAGCACATGCCTTTGTTCTAATACGTTCATGATGTGCATTGTGGCAGAAAGTGAATTATTCAAGTGTAATTCTTCACAATCCATAGGGATTGATTGGCTGTATCCCTTTTGTTCGTCTTCAACGCACCTCAGAGGCTATTTGATTACTTTCTGCTTCACCTCATTTATCTGAGAGCTCTAGATACTTACAGATAGACATTTTACACAAAAACCCACAGCTAAAATATTTGACTGTAAAGGCTTGAACTATGAGTAACATATAAGGTACTTCAAATAAGCTCCAATAATAATACTTTAATCATGTATTATATAATATGGTAGCTTCAATAGTGTTCATTCTACTAAAACAAGGCTTCTAACACATGATGTTTACTTGTTTGGGTATTGCTTCTTTTATTTAAGTAAAGGAAGTGTGAGATTTACATCCAAAAATACAGATTTATGTTGTGTTGGAGAAAGACATTTTGCATCAGACACAATTAAAGATTTTTATTTGAACACAACAGGAACAACATAACTCAATACAACAGGTGAAAAGTTACAAAAAATGTTTGATTTTAATAGTCTTTGTTATATTGAGTGTGATTCACTAGTTTGTGGCACTTTTTATGTAAAGGATAATAAAGAGAAGAGCTGCAACGATAAGTCAATCCCCAAAAAAATACTCGCCAACTGTTGATGATCAACTGGTTGGAAATTATTTGAAGATATTAGATATTTTACAAACCAAACGATTAATTGAGAATATAATCGTTAGCTTCCGCCCTAAAGCTAACCTTCACTAGGAGCACTGATGGGAGGGTGAGTTTTGTTTTTGTGTAGAATTCAAATACCTACAATACAGAATCACAGACTCCACCTTCAAAGCTTTCTTGGACTTGATGGTTTTACAAAGTGGATGTAACTGGAATAAACAACATTAGAGCTGTCGGGAAAATAACATTTACTGAGAACTTGGAAAATGGACTATCGTACAAAGCCTGTTCTTAACTCTCCAGATACCTCAGTGAACCTGCTTCTGCTTCTTCCTCCTGACAGAGTTTTAAAAGCTAACACTCAGCTGGAGACCTCACACACACGTTTATGTTTTCAATGTAAATCAGATGTGGACAGTCTTTCTGGGCTTCCGGGGCTTCTTCGGTCCTTTCTTTTTACTCTTTTTGTTCGGATCCGTCATCTCTCCTTTGAAAGAGCCGGAGCTTGTAGTCGCAGTCGGTCGGTTTCCAGAGAATTTATTTTGAGCTTTGAAACCCCCCCGGGCGCCTCCTTTCTCTGGCCCCGAGCCCTTCATAGGTCCCTTCATTGGTCCCTTTCCTGGCCTCCCTGGAGCTCCTTTTCCCTCCGGAGTCTTCTTCTGCTTCTCCTTCTTCACCGACCTCTTCACCCGGATGGTCCTGGTCTCCAGCTTCGATCCATCGAGCTCCAACGCCAGCTGCACCGAGTCTGCGCTCTGAGACGCAAAGATACAAAACAATTAAATCTCACGTCAAACCTGGTGTAGAAAAACAGCAATAACCTTGAGAAGGGCGGCAATATAACAATAATAATAGATTACATTTGTATAGCGCCTTTCAAGGGACCCAAGGCCGCTTTACATGGTGAACAACAAGGCAAGGCAACAAACAAACAAAAGGGGCAAATAATAAAGTATGAATTAAATAAGTAGGAGTGGAAGCAGGGGGACTGTGTTGGGTTAGGGGTCAAAGGCCATGGTGAACAGGTGATTTTTTAATGATGACTTGAAGATCTGTGTCTAATATCCTAATAACATTATAATTTATGATTAAACAGATATCAGGCTTACTTTGTTCAGTCTTTACTCTCTTATCTAACTGATAGAGCTGAGCGTAAGAGGAACCAACAACAACAAGGAAGAAAGATGTGTAGTTCCGTCTAATCGATATATCCACAAGTAGCAATAAGCTTGACTCCAACTAAAACATGTCTCAGGAAAGTTTGGTTGACTCTTAAAGGTGGGGTAGGTAAGTTTGGAGAAACCAGCTCGAGTGCGCTAGAATTTGAAAATACACAACCGGAAGAAATCTGCCACTTCCTTACAGAGCCCCTCCTCCAACACACACGAACGCACACATGACCAATGAGGGCACGAGATAAGTTTTGTGCACAGATGGAAGGCTGACAGGCAGGTAGGCCATCCAGTTATTTTAGCCGGGCCGGTTCAGATGATTGGTCGTGCTTTTTACAGCGCCACGGCTTCCAGAGATGACATTGTTATGTATTTATTGTCAAAGCATTTAATGTATTCATTGCTATCGGGATGTTAAGAGCATTCCATGGAATATAACAAAAAGTGTTTCTTAAATAAATGACATACCCCACCTTTAATTTAAACAAAAGATATCAGTACAAACACATATTTTTAAAGTTCAAAAAACGATATTGCTCCGTGATTCTTTTTTCTTTCTCACTTCTAATTACCAGCAGCTGCGGTCGGCTATGACGTCAATTTTACAACGGCTGATAAATTATATAATAATACTAATAATAAAGAATTACAATGTTCAAATATCTATATACACAAACAATATATCAAATTATATATTTTAACGTATGGCTCCTACAAGATGTTTAAAATGTTAAGGGCCGTTTTGCGCTTTCTTTAAAAAGATCCTATGGCTATCACAAAGGAAGGGACAAATTGTGCAGATATCCACATCCAGGACACAAAGCGAAACAGTAGAGCAGCCTCTGTGTGGTCGTACCTCAAACAGGACGTATCCGAACCCTTTCCCCAGGCCGGAGTTCTGGTCTCGAACCAGCCGGACGCCCTCCACATCGCCGCACTCCTCAAAGTGCTGCCGGAAAGACAGCTCGTTTATCTCTGAAAACACAAACAGCAGGTTAGCGTCAACATGACAAACAACAACTATTTTGAACGTTAAAAAAAAGGCAGGGAGGCTCACCGAACGAAAGATTCCCCACGAATACGGAGCGTTTGTGATCGTGCTGCAAGGCGAGAATGAGTTCAATGAATATAATAATGACACATAATAAACGTTCAACATATAGCAACTTAAAACCCAAAATGTTTGAATACACACAGAGAATAAAATCAACAACAGTTACTAAAACTAATCCCAGAACATATGATGTGGAGACTCACTGCTGAGCTCTCCGTCACTTTGTCCACTCGGATGTGAAAACCTTTCTCGATCTCCATGCCGTTCCTATGAACACACACACACACACACACACACACACACACACACACACACACACACACACAG